AACTCTGGCTAAAATAACAAAAACTGGATTGTTTCATGATTAAACACAAAATGAAATGCTTAAATATCACTAATGGGAAATTTACCCCTCTTTCTAATAATACTATAAAATTCGCTATACCGTAAAGAGCAAAAAAGTTATGACGGTTTTAACCTAAAAAACAGCGTTTTGAAGATAATAAATTAATTTATAATTATCTCCGAAACTATTGAGAATTTTCAAAAAATGTATAGAATATTTTTTGTTACAAATAAGCTGAAAAATCATCAAGAGTTTCGCGCATAGTTTGTGAATCTCTCTTTATAAATTTAGTGAACATGGAATGTCGCTTTACAGTAATTGTCATAATAATTGATAACAATAATGTAATTTCAGCTGTAAATCAATACTCACCACCCATAAAGGATATTGTATACATACTTGGAATAATATACAGCCGTGTGTTTGGAGGTGAATCTGAATCGTGCTGATAAATTACTAACAAAGATATGCTTGTAATTTATTAATTACTCTCCAACCCACTTTATAAGTGTAAACACGTTAATTTATAATCTTTCCTGAAGAGACGTCATTATTAAAAGAATATCAAAATATTATTTTTTTCTTGAGGTTGCAAAGTGAGCATGTCTGGGCGGTTACATAATGCACTTAGCATATTCATAGAAAATTTAAATAATACATAAATGAGATTCCTGCTTCCTAAAGTTACCAATGGAAATATCTAGTTGATGTGAGATTTGCACTCTAATATCTGATGACAAGGTAAATGACAAAGGTGGAAATTTACAAAGCTCGCATGTGTTCGTCCGACAAAGCATTGTTTTCGCCCTGTTGAAAAAGGTGAAAACGCCGTTAAAATAAGGTTAAACTGAGGACGAGAAATCGAAGAAGGGTTGTAAATAATTAAGGGGCTAATGTATATTAAAGCCCGGTGAATATTTGCAGGCAGGCTGGTACGGAAGAGAGGGCCCCACCTGCTATTTATTCACATCGAGTTGTTTACATGATCCTCATCCCTGTTCTCACCACAGGGATATACAACTCCCTTTTACAGGTCGCTACAGGTTAACTACAAATTCATGCCTCTTTGCCAACATAGCCAAATTCCAAAACGCCCAATACGAAAAAAAAAGGCCTCCAACATAGTCCGATTCGATAAAAGTGTTCATAAATTTCTAGGACCTGTTAACATAAAAGTTAAATAATCTTTATGTAAGGTATTGGGTGAGATAGAAAAGCTAGTGTCACAAGCCGGATTCGAACCCACGACCTTCGACTAAATACGACGCTACTCTACCACTTGAGCTATCATGACTTCGATCCACTCGGACACGTGTCCCATCTCAACGTACAACCTTTCGAATTTTCCTCTCCTTTTTGCCATTTTTGAAGTGTCGTGTTATCAGGATTTAATTCTCGGCGACAAATGAAATGGCGACGGAAAGCTTTAGTTAAGATATACTTCGTTTTATTTATTAAGTCCATTATATTTAGTGGTCTATTGACCAAATTATTTTTTTCAATTAATTAATCTTTTTATGTAAGGCTTTGGTTGAAATGAAAAAAATTAGTGCCACGAGCGGTTCGAAGTCACGATAGCTGAAATGGTAGAGCAGCGGCGTATTTAGCCGAAGGTCGTGGGGTTCGAATCCCGCTCATAACACTAACTTTTTCATTTCAACCAAAAACCTTACTTAAAAGATTAACTAATTGAAGGAAGTAATTTGGCCAATAGACCACTAAATATAATGGATTAAATTATTATATAACATAACAAAACCTATTAGTTTTAGCTTATATTATTCGAATTTTCCCCCATTTTTGCCATTTTTTATTTGGTCAATCGGACCACGAAATATAATGGATTAAAATTAAAAGTATTATTTCGTTCATGACAATTAATGACCTAGTTGAATCACACAGATGAAGTTGCACGAGCAAGATAGTAAATTCTAACCCTTATGAATATTTTAATATCCTATATAATAGATGACTTTCTTGAATGAAAAATATACAGAGAATTTGGGCACACAATCCTTTAAAAAGTAAGTTTTCAAGTGTACACACCTGAAAAATTTGATTAACGACAATTTCGCATATTTTATACAAAGACTCGGTCATCCATTTGTTCTCTTACACTGTTATATCAAAATATTCCAAATTACATCCCTACTAAATCATCTCAACATTTTGCACGACATCTAAAACGCCTGTAAACTTTTAGAAGTAAGGAAAGCCTGCCATCATGCAGATATTCAAATGTCAAAGGGGTTGTAAGCATGACTATAAAAAAAATTAATTCAACCTTTTTATGAACAACCATAGATCCCCTAGATATTATTTCAACAGATTCATTACAAGAATGTCCTACTTTAGACATCATAACAACTCCTCAAGACATCTGATTATTGGTTGTCTTGCAAATATCTGAACCAGTAAGCTTTAGAAAGCGACTGAATTATCTGAGTACTTCGAATTTTTAGCTAGCACTGATTGTGCTCTTCGTTTTTAAAACTTATTGCATGTATGGTTGTACAGGTTTGAAAACACGCCTTATCGAAGCATATTGAGTTGTTAGACAAACCCCAGAATCATTCCTATATTTGCTATTTTTATCTCTTCGGTTGTTAAAATACCTCGCACCCGCAAAAAAGTGATGATTTTTTTTTTTAACAACTTCACTTTAGCACATAATTTAGTGCAGTTGTCTATGTTTCTTGACAGAGACGACTGGTGACTTTGCTGACTATCCCAAGATATGTTGTACTGAGCATCATTTGCCTGCAAGGTCCATAGGGTTTTTTTAAAATTTGGATGTGGTTTGGAGCTACTTGGCTTGTGTCTTTCCTGGTTGTTTCTTCTTTGCGAAAAATAACTCTTGGTTCACCATGAATGATGATGTGACCTGAGTAGTTTTACGATTAATAAATTATTTCCACCAAGAGATTGAACCCTTTCTAGTGTCAATGAAAGCCAATTCGCATTTTGCACTATCTTGTACAGTTGAAAATATGACCGAACAAATCTGAATCTGTTTCGTTGCATTCTATTAAATTATTTTGCCATTAATTTTTTTATCTCTCATAAATAATTGTAGTTATTTTAATGTGTTGATATCTTTCGTATTCCTCCATTTAAGGTTTGTTTGATGCTTTTTGTAATTCGCAGTCAATTTTAGAAAACTATCGTTCAAATTTGCTGTAAATTATATAAAGAAATTTTAAGGTTAGGATTTAAAAAACCTGAAAGTGGAAAGATTTTTCATTGGAATAATTGAACATCCATATCTAAAAACTTCGTACTCTCAAAACTTTATCTAGTTCATATGCGGGACTGTTTTATGCCATGTTGGGAAATACAACATCCTCCCTTCAAAAAAATCCTACGTGCTGAATAAAAAAAAGAAGAAGAAAAAGAAAAGGAATGGTGCTCGACAGATAAAGGAAGCAGAGAAAACGATCAGCCGTCGTCCGTTGAAGAGCGGATGTAAGGAAGTTGTAAAAAAGTCCACCTGTTCAAAGTGGGGAAAAAGGAAAGAGTTAAGCGCCGGGGAAACAATTGACAAGGAATTGCTCCTCTCACAATGAAACTTGGCGATGCTGTTTCGGTTGTGGGAGCGAGAGTTTATTACGTCACTTTATTGTCCCTCTGGACTTACCTGGCGTCCCCTTTATGGCGCTACAAAGAACTATAAGTGAGAGATCTCACCCCCTCACGAACCAATGACAAAAACTTAACGTCAATATCCCTACCCCTTTCATAGGTGGAACGGGGAATTTATTTCACAAATGAGGAAAAGAGAAGGTGATATTAGATCCGAAATAGAAACTGGAAACAAAAATTTAAAAGTAATAATGTCAAACCTAATTAAAAGAACAATATTTTTTCGCTGGAGTATAGGATTGATAATTTTTTGTTTGCTTTTTTAATTGACTTAGGTTTCTCTAAAGATAAGTACGCATTATGCTGCATGTACAACCTGTTGTAATTAGCAAAGTTTTTCTGTCTGCCAATTTTGAAATTACTGTAATGTGTATGTGTAAACTTGGCCAAAAATTTAAACAAAGAAGTTCAAAATATATTCTACTTGCAGATCATACAAAAAAACACACAAAACCAAAATAAACCCATTGTTAAATAATTTAGATAGCTTTTTTGATTAATTCTTTTTACCCTGGTATAAAAAGAATACGTAATAAAAAACACCCAAAGAAATCGATCTTATATCAATCATCTACGGCCAATAATCATGTTTGTATTCGGGTTTCCTTTTTTATACACATCGCAATGATTGATCTGTTCCGACAATATAAAGAACTATAGCCTATAGGTAAAAATAAAATTTACGCCGTGTGAAAACTATAACAACATACACCGCAAAATAAATGATTTGAAACAAAATTATACATTTGAAGATTTGATAATAATCAAAAAGCAGTTATGAGATATTTGTAAGATAAATTTCTATGTCGTAGTGATAATTTAGTTCAAACTTAACTTTCAATTAATTAAGGTTTTGGTTGAGATAAAAAAAGTCATTGTCACAAGCGGGATTCGAACCCACGACCTTCGGCTAAATACGCCGCTAGTCTACCACATGAGCTATCGTGACGTCGATCCACTCGACACTAACTTCCCATCTCAACCCCACCTTTTTGAATTTTCCCTCCTTTTTGCCATTTTTCAAATGAAATGGCCACGGAGAGCTTTAGTGAAGTGTACTTCATTTTAACTTATTAAATTAACTAGTTTTCGTGGTCCGCTTGACCAATTAATATCTTTAAATTAATTAAGGGTTTTGGTTGAGATTAAAACTAGTGAGTTCAAACTTAAGTTAAACTTCCTTTGAAATTTACATTGTAGCCGAAGGAGGTGTGGAAGGGTGATAATCTTCAGCAAGGGATCATTTAAATATCAAAGATTCTTCCTTGAGCTGAGGGACAACCTTGTAAAAAGTCCCCTTTTTTATAGATAATTTTTGCAAATGAAGAAGTACTCACATATCACAGACAATCTGGCGTTGGCACGTATCGATTTGTGTACACCCTGGGGTCCGACTTGACACTGGAATTCCGCGTCGTCGTCCAGACTAGCGTTCACGACGCGCAAGTTGAAGACTCCGTTCCTAGAGTCCCCGATCATCGTGTACCTCGGATAACCAGGGATGACGGACGAAAATCCTGTAGACAAAAAAAATTACTGATGTTAACTTAACGTTATATTTTAACCGTTAATAAAATTATAAATATGCATCAAATTTAATAAGTAAAGGATGTTTATTACTCTAAAAACATTCTAAGTAATTATTTAATTGGCTTTGTTTACAACAATTGGTTTGATTCTTCTGAGCAAAACCTACAATAACTTCATTACTTAACAAATATAGGTGTAACTTTCAATTAAATAAGGTTTTTAGTTGAGATAAAAAAGTCAGCGTCACGAGCGGGATTCGAACCCACGATCTGCGGCTAGATACGCCGCTGCTCTACCATTTGAGCTATCATATCCTCGAACCACTCGGACACTAACTTCCCATGTCAACCCCCACCTTTTTAAATTTTCCCTCCTTTTTGCCTTCTTTGTGTTAACCCAGTTTATTCTGTTAGTCCTGTTAGATCTAGAAAACTGAGACTTGTTAGAATCGGCTAGTTAACATTGCTCGATCTAACATGCCAGGGCCAATGTTAGGTGTTAGGTCGAAAATGTAGTCACTTTGCTATCCGTTAGGGCGTAGGTAACCAACATGGAAGCCATGAATTTAACAGCTGTTTTTTGTTTAGTCTTATATACGCATTAATTAGATCAGACTAATACATTTCTTTTGTTAATTTCTGACCTGTCTTTGTACTCTCATTCATAATAGATACATCCCATATCATATAAAGTAGTAGGCTGTTAGACGTTAGGATACAGGTTAGGTATGTCGACACGAATTGAAACGTGTCATTTGTTATTACTTTTCGAGTGCATAGGTAGCATTTTGAATGAAAGAGTTGATTAATTTTCCTCTTTTATTAACCTTTGGCATCTTCCAATTTAACACAAAAGAAAACCGAAACAAATAACAAGCCTTCAAGGACTGTTATAGTTTTATTTTTGGTTGTACCAATCACCACGCGCTGCATTGCGGAAAAATTAACGTTTAACATCCTAAGAAAAGAAAGGGCGTTATCTTACTGGAATTTCTCTATTCGATTTAATACGAATGTTACCTAATAACTAATGTTGGTGAATACCCCTATTACTGTAAATTTTGCCTTCGATTTACCACAAAAATTTCAAACAATTCTTCAAATTTGTAGGATGCGAGCAATTTTGGATGAACGAACAGATCTATTGAATTTTAAAGGAACTGACATCAACTGTATATAAAGGTGAAAAGAAAAAAATGTTTCAGACCAACTTACTTTCTTCGTAAAGTTTCCTAGCAATATATTGCGTTCATCTTAGAAAATATTTTTAAACGGGTATTGTTAACAAACGTTTACTAGGCCCTCGGAGAATCTGCTTCATAGAAGAAGGATCATCCTCGTCCGATTAAGGTAAGCCTTGCAAGGTTGACACAGGAACACATTTGAGCCAAAGCCCGCGTATGTGTCCAGCATGTAGAGAAAGATTGCTCGATGTGTTCCACTTAATTTAATGGTGAGATTGCTTCGTTATTCTTAAAAAGCGTGTAGGCATGCAACACGATATGAGAAGTGCTGGAGCCGAGTAGCTGGGTTTCCTGTCCCGATTTCTATTTTTTTGTTTTATTTATATAGTACTTTTAAGTGAATGGTGTGTAGTAAATAGGAAAGAATGTATTTAAGAACGTTGGGTGCTGAAATGACCCGGAGCCCAGTCTTGCTGGCTGGACGTAAAGACCGGAGGTCACGCCGACGTGGGTGATCCTCAAAGGGCCTGCTGGTAATTTATTGATTTATAAAAACACACACCGTAAATGGTGATTTGTAATTGATTTTATTGTCGAATCTGCAAGGAAATAAAAATCAAAAGAAAAAAAACACGTTTTCGACGGTTAAGTTAAAAGTTATTCGAAGGATTTATGATCATTGATTAGTTAGGAAAAAAGGAGATATGAACGACCCTGCTTGAGATTTCCTTTTTGACACTTCAACATTGGGAGGTATCCAAGTTTCGCCTATAAAACGCTCGCTGATGACTTTCCTGGTAAGCTGAAATCGTTTAATAAAAATTCGGCAAAACGTACTAAAATTTATACAGAGCAAACTAGTGGATTGTATAGTGGTGAGCCGCGACACTTTGTGAATAGCACCCTCTATTACCATACAAACGAGCATTTCGATAACGGCAATGGGCTCTATCCCGACCTGCTACAAATTAATTGGAGGCCCACCGCCATTTTGGCGGGGGGTGCCATAATTAAGGGCTGTTTTGCATTAAATCACCGCTCCGACCAGGACATTAAAATTCGAATTAGAAAAAAAGGCCGTGAGCGCAAGAGCCGCGTACATTTGGGCTCTTGTATAATGACAAGGTAAATGAGGGCCCCAGAACGTGCTTCGCTTCCCTCAGATCAATTTACATTTCATCATGACTGGGAGAGAAAACGGGCCTTTTGGCGGGGGGGGGGCTTCGATGCTGTTTTCCCATATTTCAACTTTGGTCTACAACCGTTTACAAAGTTTACAAGTTTGCAGAAGGGAATTTCCTCTTGTCTGTTCGTCCTAGTTCCCCCAAGGTGAAATCCGTGTTTACTTTTGTGAACGAAGGAAAAAATCTTTAAACTTGTTTTTCAAGAAAAATTAAAGAAAAGTATGTTTATAATTAAATTGCAAAATTTTTTAGAAGTTTCTTGTTGAAATTTTGCATTAAACGACGAAAATTTTTCATTTCATACCAGCTATTTTGACCTTCGTTAAAAAAATCCACAAGAGCATATATTTACTAGGTCAAAAAACCTTACGTAACCTGCTATATTATCCGTCAATATCCAATTTTCCCTTAACCGACAATAATTTAGCGCAAAACAATTTTTTGTTTTTCCTATACTATTAGTCTACTGGTTTCTTAAATTTGTGTATACTTCCACCCCAGCTATCTATAATAACAAGAAACAGGGGGGGGCATGTAATGCAGTTACAGGAAACTAAAAAAAGTTAATAATCAGTTTGCGTTCCAAAGGGCGCATGTTTCATGCACGTCGTCATCATTGAATGATATAAATCCTTAGTGATTACGGAGTTTTTGCCTAACGTTAACGTGAATGGTAACGCTAAATTGATTGAACTGCGCATACGCAGATTTAACGGAACGCTATCTGAAACAACGTTATTTGTCTTCGAATAACGGGTGACGGTAAAGTCAACAAAATAGGTTTGTGTTGGAGAAATTGTCCAATTAAAAAAATTATGTATGTAAGAACATAATAAAATTTATTTTATAGTTAAGGGTGTACAATGCGTACAGGTTTTCATGAATCCCTACTTCTAACAAAACATATTTGGTGTTATAACATTAAAAAATTGGGTTGTTATGTCAATACACAAGCAGGATTGACAAATAGAAATACAGCAACCTAATAAATCACTCCTTCAATAAAACCAGACCAATTTTGTAAAACCTTTGGCTGAACTGCCTAAATACAATTTAAAAACTAAAATTCTAAGAGGTAGGTTTAGAATATGGTTGTAATGAGTAATGATTATTTGGAGATCGTGAGAGGCGGTCTGGTGTGACGAAGGTTTAAAAAAACATTTTCTTAATCGAGCCAACGTTTCGATCTTTATTAAGATCTTCAGGTCCCGGGAGTATAAACATTGTTTAAATTGTACAAATACATTTATACAACATGATAGAAATTCATTTTTTCACATCCTACATTATTTGTATAATTTAAACAATGTTTATAAATCGCAGGCCCTGAAGATGATCTCAATAAAGATCGAAACGTTGACAGGTAAAGAAAAAGTTTCTCTAAAACCTAATGAGTAATGTTTATATTTAATGTACATGTTTAACTGTAATATTGCGGTTTCCTTAAAATTGTTAAGTTAAGATAGCTTTTTTAAAAATTTTATCGTCCTCAATTTCATTTAACTTGTATTTGCTTTGAAATTGTTTACTTTGTACGTTAGAACTTATACAACTATCAGGTCCTCAGAATTTGCCAAACTATCGTCAGTCTATAACAGCAGTAAAGGTCCCTTTGTTTAGAAGCTTGCAAAATACGTCTATAACTTGAAGTCACTAGGAAACTTAGCGAAAATCGGGTCAACGTTATTTGAAAAGCGTTCAATATAACGATGACCTTGAAATAGCGGAAACCTATGCTAAAATTCTATTTTATCACTAAATTGTAGATCTTTAGGCCACTGCTTTTTTATCAGTAATATAAATGGTATTTTAGGTGAGTTTTTCATGTTTTCTATTGAAAAGATTTTTACTAAATGTACTGCAAAGGACGTCTTTTCATTAAAAACAGTAAATAAGAGCATGGAAGTTTTTTTGAGAATTTTGAATTGGCCTGTGTGAATATCAAGGATATTTGGGAGTCTTCTCTATTATCACGTTTATTTATACAAAATTTTCTAACAGTAAGTGTCAATTTATTATTACACTTTTTTATCTTTGATCAAATTAAATCTGTGGTTATTTCTTTTGTTTTAATTTAAGGTTTATTTCTTTGCTCCAATAATTATATCTTAACGATTGCTTTCTGTTCGAAATATTATAAATAAGTAGTTATTTTCAATTCAAATTTATAATGGCAGAGTAAATTAGGTATCTAGAACGTGCATCGCTTCTTTCAGATCAATTTACATTTCATCTCGGTTGGGGAAGAAATCTCATCCATTTTTCAACGTTTGTTTTCGAAACGATTACAAAGTTTACGGAAAATGAGTTTACACTTTTGCCCTGGTTCTCTTTACTTTTTGTCACGTTTTACGCTAATCTTAAAATTAATTTTGACCGATAATGGAGATCTTTTCACACTAATTTGACCCCGAATGTCTTTCTAGATTTTGTAGAGAGTCAGATACATCACAACTACCTCACAACAAAAAAAATATATGTCTCTTTGTAAATTTTCGATTGTATGATGTGTGTGTAATTTAATAAATATAATATATATTCATGGGTCTTTATATTCCCTTATATTATAGCAGAAGTATAAAATTGCGAATATATGTTGATACTGTTTTGATTTTGTTAG